TGTCAACCGAAACAATTTTCTTCATGGGAATTCATGTAAAATGGATTATTTCTTTTCTGGACCATATATGATGGCTTATTTAAATGTTACAACAGTACACTGTGATCACGTTCAAAACCTAAAACCAGTATAAATCAGTAATTACGAAACAGAAAAGATAAACACAATATTAAACAGATAAAACAAGAGGAAACTTAATTTAATTTTGCTGTTCCTGTAAGAAAAAGAGTGGACGACATAAGCGGAAAATGCAGAAGAAGATATCTTACCGTTTGAGCATCAAATTCCCTTCCATAGAAGCAGCTTTCCTTTTCTTTGCCTCTAAGTGCCTTTCTACTCTGCCTTAGACTCACTGATTCTCTGTTTCAGTTAAAATTTGTTCAATGTGATTAGTTTTTGACTACGTTTTAAAATGTTTCTAATGTGAGACCATTATCATTGAAATTGCTTAAATTGTAGCTTGCTATTGGATTATTAGAATTATATCATCTCGCGAAAACCCTGAATCTTCTCCCATTTCGCTAGGTTTAAATCCCTGAATCTTCTCTCATTTACACTAGGTTTTACACTACACAGAGAGCTAGAATAATATTTTTGTTCCTTTTCTTCAGAATACATTGCGTTCCATAATCGCAGTTTTGTTACAGTTTCTGAAATTTTTATAGTTCTTCCCTGTTGACCTTAGTTTTATAGTCCTCTAGTAACTTCTTCAGTTCTTCATTGTTAACTTCCTAGCCCATGGTTTTTCCAAAAGACTCGCTATCATAATTACAAAAAAAAAAAAAAAAAAAAAAAAAAGTATCGTTAGCTCTCAAAATATCTGCCTGTAACCCCTCAATCTGAACACACCAGCTCGAATTCATGAACCTGAGAGTCAAATGCTAGGCTTTGATAAACCATTGAAAATATTAAAATGATGTTTTTGGCAAATTCTGAGTATTAAATATTTTCCAAAGATTACCTTAAAACACCTAGGAAAATTATGTTGCTGACCTGAGTGTCCGTAATTTGAGAACATTCGTATTCCGAAGCTTTTTTTTATTCAAATAATTTATTCACAAACGGTATTGTTTGTAAAGTGAGTCCTTCGTGATCTGAGTTCTACTATATCACTCTGGACACCGATGTTCAGGAAAAGGTTTCTTGATTTCTTTTGCATGCCTGAATTTTCTCTAAAGATCTGCTAACATACATTTTGCACCATTCTTCATTTGTTTTAGGATCTTTTATGGAATTTTCAGCATTCTCTTAATTTTCAAATTCAGCAATAAAATTTAAAACTTTTATCATTTATTTCGGTACACAGTGTGAATTCACGAATTGCAATAGAGTATTATTGCAATTCATGAATTGCATTAAGCGCTACTGCTTGTGCATTTGCTAAATTCAACAAATTCACTATTTTTCATAACTTTATTGAAGAATTCAGTTATATAGTTATAATGTATGATATTGCCACTAAAAGTAGTGTTGTGATTGAATCAATATGTTAATTCATTACATATGCCAATTCTTGGAATGATTTTTTATAGGCAACCTTCTTACTTCGCATGAAAGCCCCATGTAATAACTGAATAAGTGAAGTTGCGTTAAGGAAAAAAATACATACTTTAATCAAATTTCGCTTTTAAATGTGTAGGATATTATATTACTTTAGCCATTAGCAGATGTTTTTCTATTTTGTTTGATCATGTAAGTAAATTTTGTTTGCGCTAAAGAAATTAACCAACCAGTCATTGTGCTCACTCATGCATGCTTTTTGTTGGATCTCCTTTCAGTTGGGATAACTCAGTTAGGCTAATTGGGATAACGTTTTTAAAGCGAAAAAAATGGGTTTAATTATTTATTTATTTTTCAGTTACAAGTACCTCCGCAGAATGTCCTTCCATACTTCAAAACAGCAAAGCTCCTTACAATAAGCCGCGCATTTCTTCCTTAGAATGAAGTAAACTACTAAAAATTGCTACTTCATAAAGACTACATGCAATACACGTCAAATTTGCGTTAAAGGTACTAAATTCTGGAATATACAAATGATTAGCATTCCAATGCATGAGCATTAAGCCGGTATGAGTAAATCCATCTTACACATTGCGTATAAATACAGAAGATTTTACACTAGGTTTCTCATTAGGAAACCGCATTTGAAAGTTGATGTTTTGTGTAAAGAACGAGTTATGCCTCGTGTAAGGAGAAGATCACAGATATGTGTATATATCCCACTATCACTCCCACTATCACGTGCCGAAATTCGATTGTAGCAGAAAGGAGCTTATCAAGACTGCTATTTATCGTTCCCTTACATTGGTGTTGGTTGGAATGGCATGACTGTCAGCCGAATATGGAATCAATAAGTACAGAAGGGCCATACCGAACACCATGCCGGAACTCAGTGATCCCGAGTTACTAATGTCTAAGAGGATAGATATGCTGTCCTCTCAGCCTTGCGGGATTGTAGAACCACATCCTGTATACTCAGTCAAGAACGTAGCCCAGTCAAGGACGACAATTGTCTGCACTCACAGTGAGACGACGTTTACAGCTGCGCAGATCGTCAACATGGGGATCATTGTTGTAGTTTACCGAACACTACAGCATAGAGAGGCTTATCTATACGGCTTGCCGGACAGTGCGAAGACGTTTGCAGCACCGCGGGACTGTAACCACGACGACCATCATTGTGACTTTCCTTGAGACAGGCACACGTGCAGTGGTGCAACGACAGACGACATTGGACACAAGAATAGTACCATGTCGTCTTTTCAGAAAGGTACCAGTTCTATGTACAGTAGCATGACGGAAAGAATCATGTAGATCCCGTGGGGTTGCATACACTGGCTTAATATTATACTATGAGAGCAACGACTCTGTGGTCCCAATATATGGGCCCGGTTTCTGATGCCGCAAGGGGCATTTAGTGCTGTTCTGAAAGGCAGGTGGCTTCGGCTTTTCGAGTAGGCTGGCACGGCGACCGCGTTATGTGTTGAGCCTTCTGAGCACAACAAGCCGTGTCTGAAATGGGGATTAATTAATAGGCGCGCCTTGTTCTGCAACCTTAAATAGATTGCGGTAAATGTAATCGATCATATCCGTGTGTCGATAGGCAGAGGAGAACGAGAATGTTGACAACTTGTATTTCGTCATCGTCATACGGACCCTGCACCCACTGTACTGGTAGGGGATACCACTGGGTATACTACATCCTGGTCTCCTTTTTTAGCATAGCTTACATAATGTGGACAACCGCCGTTACGTTTCTGATGTGTAAAGGCCCTTGACGGCCCTTATGCCCTCATTCAACAGCATAGTGCACGATCGCACGTTGCTCGTGATATTCTGACCTTTCTCGGAATGAGAGCGTCGATTGTTGTCCTGGCTATCATGTTCTTAAATTCTCTTAACCATTGAGAATGTCTGGTTACTGAAAGACTGGCGCACCATTACTAATCAGCCTCTACGATTAAGGTATTCTGGCACAGAGATGAAGCTGTATAGTATAAAGTACCCATATCTGTCATCTAAAATCAGTTCAATTTGATGCTTATCAGAATTACAGGCTTTATTATTGCCAGAGGTGGTAGTTCCAAAACGCCAACTGCAAATTTAGTCATATCTTCCTCTCGTTATATTGCATATGTACAATAATAAATAGGATTCAACTCTTTGGTATTTTTCCTGGCGTAGACATTTTAATGGCCAGTAGTATGTTTTCATTTATGACACTTTGACTAACAAATTTGACTTATTTCCATGACATAATCATGGCAAATCTCATTTTTTTCGAACCAATCAGCAATATTTAAAAGCTTTGTTGATTTAAACTTAATTCAGACTTTCTTGAAAGGTATGTTATACTTTAGGCAGGCACATAGCAGTGATATAAATGATGCAAACAGGTCTGAGCAAAAACAGACATATTTACATTTTGCGGTAGATATCTTTTAAATGTAATTAAGAGAAATCTTCAATTAAGGGTTCTTCAGGTTTAATGATAATCTATGTTATTCCTATAGAAATGAAAAAAAAATACTAAAATAAAGCAATTCAAAATCTAATATAGTTGCGTGCTGATCGGAACAAAAAGTGGTGGTAATAACGCACAATAAAATGAAAAATAAGTTTAAAATTCATCACGTATTCATTTCGGAATAACCATGCAAAAATAATAAAAATAATAATATAATAAACGATGGGAAACTGCAAGAAATATGGACCAAAACCCAAAATGAAAAATGAAATTAACATTTTTGGCTACATTTTTAATATACATATAGATATATATTATATATAATAACAGTGTTAAATACTATATTCTGATTTAATTATTACCTCTTGAGATGTATATGCTATATATACATGTATGGATTACAAACAAGAATTACTAACAAATTCTAATTTAATTATTATCTCTTAAGACGTATGGGCTATATGTATATGTACACCATTACGGATTTAACAAAAACAAACGGAAACATGACAAATAAATTCCATTTTAAAAATTTTAGCTCATTAGTTTTTAATTTTTACCCTATTCCTTCCATCTTACCAAACTTGACACTTGCAATTATTTTTGAATTAAATTGAATTTAGGTATTTTCTACGTTTAATCACAGTTTACTAATTCACTGATTTATGCTTTTATTAGTTCTTATTGTTTTGGAAAGTATCAAATCTTAGTAGTATTTTTGTAATAATTATTACCATTTAATTAATACTGCATTTGCGATTAATTATTAATTATTGGAGTTATTAATTAGTTTTCAACTTAGTTATTAAATTAAATGTAATTGCTTTACGTGTAAATATCTATAGATATATACACTAATTGTATAAATATTATTATTACTAATATATTAACATATGTTGTATTGTGACGCATACAAATATTTATGACCGTATCATTTTACAAATGGTTAGTGAATTCATATTTACATTTTTTTCATAAGTTTTAATAAGATTGTCTCTAAGCGAAAAAGTAAAATTATTATTTTTTGTTTTAGATACCCAATGATGATGAGCCAGACAGTATAGATGGATATTACGTCGGTTATAAATCTCACAGCAAATCCGAGCCATATAATTTCAAGGCTGTCAATGTGTCAAATACGAGAAGTCCTTATTTTGTTGTTGTGGATCTATCACCTCTTACAGATTATAGCATTATAGTACAGGCTTATAATGGTAGAGGAGCTGGACCACCATCAGAACCTGTCATTGTTCGCACGCTAGAATTCGGTAAAAAATATTCAGAAAATTTTATTTCCTGATCCTTTAAATATTTTCAAAGCATTGCAATCCCCAGTCAAAAACTATTTGTGTCTCGTAATAATTTTATATATTTATTGATTTACAATATATTTCCATTATAATGGATTGGCTTATAATGTTTCATAATTACTGCTGTTTTTCAATAATATTTGCATCGATTTAAAAGTAAATGCTAGTAATTCGACCCGACTTCAAATATCGGAAGAAGGGATAAAATACTGACTAGTCGTTTCTGCGATTTTCTCTATGTGTACTGTTAATATAAGTTAGGTTACTTTTTTATAATTTTGGATCTATTATATTTCAGTTAGGACAAAAAATTTATTACATTTCAGTTATCACTGAGGCTATCTACACGAGAAAGGGATGTCTTCCTGGAAAATTTCCTAAGAAGAATTGATTTGTATTCACGTTTTCCATATGGGGATTAAGCAATTTTCTTTTGAACGTCGTCCACATTACTCCTTCCTTATACAAAGAGCCTTACTGCAAAAGTTCTGAAGGAAGGTGTTCATTTTCAAGTTATACGGGGAAAATCGCGTAAACATCCATGCAACCTGTTTGCAGGATTTAATCCTGGGTCGAAATTCTAGTACTCAGTGCCCTTACCCGCACAGCCGTTGTTGGACACTTTTACCTTAAAATGCCTTCTCCTTAGGCAGAGAGCTCGGACTGAAAGATATTATTACAGTGTATCTTACTATAATAATATTTTCCAGTTCGATCCAACTCTAAGTATTACTACGAACGAAATAGCATTTAAATATGCACAATAATATCATAATAATATAGTAGTCATAAAAGTTTTGTAATTACGATTATATTTTCATTATATTTTATTGATGTATACGCAATTTCAGTGCCGAATTCTGAAGTTTGTCTCAAAAAAGTGATAAATACTAATAAAAACATATTAGAAGCAACCAATAATAAAATTAATAAAATTTTTCAGTTGTTGGTACTAAAATGTTACAAATTATTGCTATTAGTTTGTTAGAAATGATGGTAAAGCAATAAGAATAGAAAACAAAACTTCGCATTGACTTTCTGAATTTTAATTTATTATAAAAAGAAATTTTACTTTAGGAACAGTTATTTACTGTTTAAAACTTAAAAAAACCTATTGTATGCCTACTTAGAGATATTTAAATATTTAATAGGAGGCTGTAAATTTGTCATTAAACTTACAATTCACACAGAGCATTTTTAGGATTACTTACGAGTTTGATTTTGCAGCCGAAAAAAGCTTTACTTTAAGCATAAATAGGTTAACGTGTAATTGCTTATGAATTTTTCATTTATAAAAGCATTTCGGCAACTATAAAACAAAAAAGTGTTCTTTTAAATATTTTCTCTGACTTTACTGCAGTACGAAACTTATTATGTAAACTACTAAAAACGGAAATTGCGTTCTTGTATCTGTTGTTCATGATGCAAAAATTACTTTTCTACTCGACGATGAATCGACGCCTTTTCTTTTCGTCGGTAATTTCTAATGAAATTTACATGTACTTAACGCTGAAAATTTCTTTTACCTCAACTGATGTATCGCATATTTTTATTTGCTCAACTAGGAAACTCTGTTAAACTCTTTTTAATTTAATTGTTAGTAGGTTGCTTTTGATTACTAATAATTAATTGCTTGTTTGTAAAATAAAATAACACAGTTTCATAGCTCTAACCTAAGCTTAATGTTAAATTCAGACTTAATTCTTTTATTGGAAGTTTAAATACGTAATTTTAAAAATAATGTTTGCTTATCTACGTGTATTTCTCTTTCATTACTGTGAAAGACATTTGGATAACGTTTCTAAAAGTCGAATTAACACATTAAAATTCGATGCTAACTAAAATATTAATATTCGGTGCTGTAAAATATAAAAATGAGACAGCTATTAAGACACAAAAAATTAATTACTAAAATTTTTAAAAAGCATTAAATGATACATAACTTTTGATTTAATATAGAGAATTTTTATGATATATTATCAGCTACAGATTAGCGGATCGTATATAATTAAACGAATTATCAAAAAAGTCATTTTGATTTTTAGTGTGAATTAAACTTAACTATTTCTATACAAAAAATTTGCTTCAATCAATCATGTATCTTCCTGTCATTTCGATGACATCCTAATAACCTTCTTAATTTCATCATTTCGCGGTCATAGAACTTCTTGTCTTTATCAGCAAAAACTAAATTAAGTGCGATTACAAGTTATTGTTATTATTGAAATTTTTACCATATAAAAGTTTTGTAAACTTCGAAATAAATGATAGTCCCATGATGAAAGGTCGGAGTTATATAGGGGATGTGACATCACTCCCCAACTAAGCTCCAATAATTTTGTACTTTTGCTAAAGTTGTGTGAGGCCTTGCACTCTCATGGTGGAATACGATTCCTTTTTGTGATTTGCCAATTCTGGCTTTTTCTGTTTTATTATTTCCTCCAGTTTCATAGGTGGTTTGCATAAAACATCTGAGTTTATCATTTTGTTGCTCGAAAACAGCTGAAAATACACAACATCTTTATTATCCCATCAAATTCACGGCATGAGCATTTTCTGCTGCGATTTAGCTTTCGATATAATTTGTGCTGATTCATCATTCTTGGATCATGATCTTTCTCGATTAATGTTATTACAGACAATCCATTTTTCATCGGATGACTCCCTGCAAAAAAAGGTCGATTGCATTACGTTTGAAATGCAATCTAATTTTATTGTATCGGAAATATTGATTTGTTGTGTTAAGTGAATTTCTTTAACTTCATGCGGAACTCGAATATCGAGCTTTTTAAGAAGTCTTAAGCATCTTATAGGAATTTCATTTCTTGTGTGACATAGTTAACCTTTTTGCAATCACTCGCACACTTATATACCGGTTCGAATCAATTATTGCTTTAATTTTGTCATCATCAACTTCAGAAAATCGACTAGAACGCTATCATTCTTCAAGTGAAAAATCGTTAGAACGATTTTTTAGACCAGTTTTGACACATGCATTCTGCTAAACAATCATCAGCATAAACTTCACATATCTTTTAGTAAGTGTCAGCTTTTTCCTTACCTTTTATGAAAATAAAAAAGAAATATGTTGAAAACATTTATTTTGCACCCGCGTTAAAATTGACCATCAACTAAGAGTTGTAAAGAAACATTCACAGGAATTTGCTTCTATGGCAACCTATCTTCTATGGTAATCTATTACCAAATTTCAAAAGAAAAAAATTATAATACTATCAGAAAAATAACAAAACGACCATAGCGCTCGCTATCTATTTGTGCAAACCGGAATTACTTTCTTACCAATCCAATATTTAATCTTATACATAAATGTAATAAAGGCTACACGGCTTTCGAAATTTGCAGCTAATTTGTACCCTTATAATTAAAATTATTGCATTTTTTTAATCGTCCTACCTTTTCCTTGGTGCTTTTAATAAATTTTCTAGCGTTCTTTGTTTCATATGAATATGCAATATTACTCCAGTATCAGCAGATAAATAGTTTCAGGTTATACAACGGATACGTGAAATTACAGATAATACCAACCTCTATGTAAAAGAGAATATTCATCCAAAATACATAAATTCTCTGAAAATTAATTGATGAGTATGGCATGGTAAGACATAATCAACATTAATAAGTGATAATAAATCATACTGTATGCGATATTGCTTTACATGTGATATTATTAATTTAGGAATGGAGAATTTTCGGTACATCGCGCTATATTCTTTCTCTCAACTACAGTGTATTAAATAAGAAATTCGGAAAAATTTAAGCTGACACGTAACTGGCGAATCAAAATTAGGACATGTAGTTTCTTTATTATATAATACAATTAACGTTTTCGAGAGATAGTAGCGAATAAAAGTCTTTCTTTTTTCAACAAAGCAATTAAAACACTTTTTATGGCTGCAAATTTTACAATGAAAATAATGTGTACATGCATAGTATACAATAAGGAAATTTCTCTTTTAGTAAAAGGCATTAACTTTGTTAGATTTCGTGTTAGTTAACCAGTTACAATCAAAACTCGCTTATAACGAAATTGACAGCGATATTTGCTCGTTATAACTGAGTGCTCTTAAAAAAAGGGTTCGTTAAAAGTATATAAAAATTTCTTCATACTTAGTATATTATTATATATATTTTATTTATTTTTTTTTATTTCTGTATAGCACGAAAGAAGTTAACTTGTTTTGAACTGCCTTATTATCTCTTTCTTATGTTATTATTCTTCGGAAAACACTTCTTAACATGAAAAACATCGTCATTTGCACTCCTGCTTTCGAATAAAGTTTGAAGTTTTTCTCAGAACTCAGAAAGCTATCGAGTATCTTGAAGGCGGTTCAGTTTAAAATTCTTTATATCCGTCTTTGTCATCGTCGCTTTCATTATTTTTTCATATGCTTTAGCTTGAATTTCAGCTACGATATCCTCAGGAGTAGATATCTTGGAAGTGAAAATATTGAATTCAACAGATACATAATTTTCAAATTCTTCTCTACTCGTCCAAACTTTCCAAAACGTCTAGTTCTTCTTCTTCCTCAGTGATTTGTGCTCTTGAGAAATGTGCAATCCAGGCTTACGGATTGCAATTGATTATGCATGTTGATGTAACTCTTTCCCGTGCATCGTTCCTCAAATCTATCGCTTCGGGTACGATTACATTAGCATTTAAGGTTATTCCTTTTTTTTCTATCGAGAAGCATAAAATTCAAGTGTTTACGAAAGTTTGTTGTGAAACTTCTAATGATTCCTTGGTCCATAGGCTCGATAACAATTGTAGAATTCGGTGGTAAATATACAATTCTGGTCGCTCCTCGGGATAAAAAACAAAAAAAGTCGTTGTCAGATGTTTGCAGGATTTATGACTCATCACTAACTTTTGGGTGATTTCGGAATATTAAGGAAATTTTTCCAAGAAAGACTTAGCGGAGCTGGAGCGGTGGAAGTCA